GAATAGCTAATAGGCAAGTCTAGACCAGCAGTTCCCAATCTTCTTCAGTGTATGACCAATGCAAATGACTCAATTATACCACCATTCAAAAAGTTGTGGTAATCTCAATAAATATCTGGTATTGAAGTATAAAACAAACTATTTAAATGCTCTCACATGCAAACATAAATAAACTAGGAAGGAAAGAATGGTCTTACTTCCATTATTTTAACTGATCAAACTGCTTTTTCATGAACTTACAAAAATAATGACTATCAGCTTCAGGGTTATCATGAAAACCACTAGCGGGCCTTTATGAATAGGCTGGGAATTACTTATCTATACTAACTTAACAGTGATAATTAGAACAATACTAACTATATAGTGATATTTAGCATAATAGCAACTGAGCAGTGATATTTAGCTTAACACTTACATTTACCATCATTTAATCATAAACTGTGTTCTGTAAAAAAAAAATGAAGAAAAAATACTGCAGAAAACAAATATTTAAATATTTCTCCCATTATGAACTACATTGTTCACAAGAGTAAAAGCAGTCAACACATGAAATATACTGATTCTATCCATCTTTACAAACATGCCTATAAATGCAGAGTAAAACATTTTAGACTGACAAAAATTACTGTCAGCAACAAAGGATGTGAAAGTTTAAATCTAAAGACACTTTTGCATCATCAATCAGATATCAAAAGAAGGAGATACCATAATAATATTGTAACACTAACAAACAGCATATAACTCCCTTTTCTAACTTTCCTCTTAAGCAGTACCAGCAATATTCATTACTTATACATTTATCAACAGTAGAGACACTTACCCACATTCTGGAAGTGTGCTGTAGGTATGAAGATCATCAATGATAATAAGACTAGGCCTGTCCTTCTCTGGAACCATATGCAAGGATGCCAGATACCTGTATAGTTCTGTTGTGCAATCGGCATATCTGAAACAAACATTCCATTAGATAAATTGGAACTCACAAACTGGAAGAGAAAGGGTGTTATTCACCAAATCAAAACACTTACAGGAACCTTATGTTGTTCATAGCAGGTGACGAGGGAGGGGGCATGCCGTGGACAGGAGGGGGGAGGCGGGCGAGTTTCTGTGGAGCCATGAACAGTACCTGTCCTCCTGCTTCACCCTCTGTCACTGCTGCCTGGAGTGGGGAAAAAATATAAATATGGGATTTGTGTGCAACAGGTTTTGAGAAAGATATGAGAGAAAGAAAAAAAAGAAAAGAAAAAATAGGTTAGAGTTATAAAACTGATTGGTGTACAACAGGTTTTGTGAAAGAAATGAAAGAAAGAAAGAAAAGAAAAGAAAAATAGGTTACAGAGTTATATAACTGAAGACAAGTCATTACAGGCAAATAGCCAATACAGAAAGTATATATATTCACTATCAAGGAGTAATGATAGGTATATAATACAGATAGCTACCTAGGGGAAAAAATCAATAATATTTTTTTTCAAAAATAATCATAACTTACTTGCATTAGAAGAGCAGTTTTCAGTGACTTTGCTGGACCAATAATACATAACGAAGGAACTGATGACAGCTTATATCCAACATAATCTTCTAATACCTTAAGACTGCAATTAATTGGGAATATTCTTTCTATCATCCCCGCCATGCTAAGTTATCTGCAAAAAAAGAAAAACCTCGGTTGAATATATTGCATTAAAGCTCACACATATTAACTATATGTAAATTGCTACACATGCAAAAGAAAACCTTAACCTTTGAATTAATAAACTGACTAAAAAGGAGAAAGTTTCTATATAGATTGATTCATTTTTTTCTTTATGCATCTAGACATGAAGAATAAAACATATGCTTTGTATATATTCAGAGAAAAAATGTTAAACAGAAAAAGAGTCAAGCAACATAATCATGTAGAAAGTAAATACAAAAGAAAGAGAGAGAGAGAGAGAGAGAGAGAGAGAGAGAGAGAGAGAGAGAGAGAGAGAGAGAGAGAGAGAGAGAGAGAAAGAGAGAGAGAGAGAGAGAGAGAGAGAGAGAGAGGGAGAGAGGGAGAGAGGGAGAGAGGGAGAGAGGGAGAGAGGGAGAGAGGGAGAGAGGGAGAGAGGGAGGGAGGGAGGGAGGGAGGGAGGGAGGGAGGGAGGGAGGGAGGGGGAGAGAGAGAGAGAGAGAGAGAGAGAGAGAGAGAGAGAGAGAGAGAGAGAGAGAGAGAGAGAGAGAGAGAGAGAGAGAGAGAGAGAATGTACATGATACATCAAACACATTATCTGAAACATTACACACCAAAAGAAACCAGCTATGAGAGAAATAAACAGGAAGAACATACAGACACTCACAGCTTAAATAAGAAACAACAAATATAAAATAAAAAAAAAACTCAATTAAAAATAACAAGAGACTAAAGCAGCTGACAGTAGAACAAGGTTTATCTTCAGTCCCAAAAACATTGACATGCATAAAGAATCCCTTCCAAATTTAACCAACCTAAATGTGGTTAGAACGAGAGAGACTTCCAAGAATGAGGAAGCAAGGAATAATATTTACATCATAAATAACGTGGACTATAGATAGTTTTCCTTAAAACAGTAATATTATACATTATTTGTTTAGGTACAATACTACTGCTGAACATAATTCTAAATTCGTATAAGCTGACTAAGTATAAAGGAATGAGATGTTGCATTTGCTCACTGTGCCTTTTACTTTTCTATACTTGGTTATAGTTTAAAATTATCCAAGATGAGCAGAAAGGTTTTGTTATACAGAGCTGACAAGTGCTCTATTTTACTGATAAATATTCTTAACAAATACCTTATCTTAATATCGAAATTTAACTCAAACTGAGTTTTGTCTCATTACGTTTATCATCAATGTCTATGATGTGTTATAGTTTTTTTTTTTATTATGCTAGAGAGAAAGCTTATTTACAATTTATTATAGTACGTACACAAGCTTACACATCTACATTTCTATGAACAAAAATACTTTAGCAATTAAATCCATACATATTCGTGATAATATAACACACCGACAAAGAATACCAACATATTTCGCCATTTCCCTCTATTTAACAAGAGTATGACCAAGGAAAAGAATCCCCAGCCATAATCATGATCCAAATGAAGCCACGATGTCAATAATATCCGCTGACATCAGTAGAAACGAGTAAATTGAAGTAATTTTGTTTGTCTTCAACGCGAATCGACGTTTAAATTCCTTTGTTTACAACTAGTAACGGGTGTATGCTATATGTTGAGAGTTACTACTGATAATGTTAAAATTTGTGAATTTATTATATTGTTTATTTTGGTTGTTAAAAATAAACAAGTGAAACACTTATATTTCAGGTTTATTTTTATGCAAAAAGGTGAAATGGCATAAATGTTTAGGCTTGTGTCTCTAAACATTACGGAAATCCTCGTATGTTTCTATTTTCATTTGCACAATATCAAATCCTTGTGCTTAAAAAAATGTCCTGATCATATTATCAGGGACGAAAATGCACATTTATCCTACGAATTAACGAATATTAGATAATATCGTGGGTATCAACTTCCCCCAAAGACGTAGCATGCTATTGGCTCTTGATGACGTCATAGGGAACTTCTTACGGACGATGCGATTGGCTAAAAAATATTGCCGCAAAACTAGGAATATCTTTCATTTTCTCTCATTTCGTAATTCGGGAGGAATTTCCCCCGAGGTAGAATAATGTAGCTTTAACGAGCCATGGTGGAAACGAGGCGTTCAATAAATACCCCCATTTTACTTTAACAATTGCACGATCGAGAGCCTTGAATTATGAGCCTTTTTTTTTTTTTTTTTTTGCTCTGTCACCGACCTCAGATCTTGATATATATTTCGTACTAAAATCCTGAACCCTAAGTATAGAACGAGTGACCACAGCCCCACCCTAAGCAACGAGCACTCTGAGGACATAGGCATTTACAAGGAATAGCGGAGGCCATGCATAAGCCATAAGAGAACAATAGATCATGCAAAGAGAAACGGATGCTGAGAACTCGTCTCTCTCTCTCTGGTCTTCACATCACACCTTCACGAGTCTCTTAATTTCGCGCCTGCTATTTTTTAACCCGCCACATTAACCCTCCATTTTCAACCGGCCGAAAACTCCCCTAACCGGCTAAGGAGACCCGGTCCCTTAAATACAACGGAGCAGCTCACGGATACTTAGAATAGAAACGAATTTTTACAGCCATCAACATTGCCCAGAACAACATTAGTCACATAGTATGAATCGGTGGTTCTGCATGTGAAGCTACGGTATCTTTAGGGTGTCATGGCCATGTGACACGAGGCATGGCGTCGACCTCCGCGCCTATGAAATAAAAGTGGACTCGATGTCGTCGTGGGGTGTCTAAAAACTCTTATAGACCGCGAGGGAAAGTGTGCGAATGAGAACTTTTGAGAGACGAGAGAGTCGGAATCTTCGCGGGTGAGTCATCGCTTAAAACCAGCTCTGAGTCAGTCGCGACACACACCACCTGAAACCCCGATAAGACCACCATGGAAATAGTTGGTAAGTACCTCGGAACGGTCGGTTCTGTGTGTGTGCCATACCCTGGGGGGTTTGCCCGTGTGGGAATCGCCCCTTTTCGCCGATGTAATTTGAACGCGGGTGTCCTTACGGCTTTAATGAAGGTTGGGGGTCAGCCAAGTTGAATCAGAGATATCCAAACCCCGTTATAATGATCAAGGACGGGACAGGTAGAGGTTTTGTTAAGGTAAAGAGTCTTCGAGGTAAAAAAAAATCCGATTTCGACATCTCTCTTTCTTTTTTTTTTGTTTCGCCTCTAAAGTTGATCAATGAAATTAGGGGTTGTCTGTAGCAAGGGTCGGATGCGTCTGCGTAGTTGAAGAATGAAAATATGGTTGGAATTTAGGCGAAACAAGTAATTGGTGATGTCCGGTAGGGTTAATTTTGCAACGTAAACAACCCCTTTTTCCCCCAATAGACGAGCCAAGGGAAGAAAAAAGAAAAGAACAACAAAACAAAAACAAAAACATTCTATCCCTAGGCCTATCGAGAGTAAGGAACACGAGATGAAATCAGTTTTGTCATCAAACCACACAAATATTTATCTCTTAAAAGGTATCCTATCCTTGTCAATGTCTCAATGTAGTAAAAAAAAAAAAAAAAAAGATAAATAAAAAAATAAAGGTTTTGGTACCATGAGCAGTCTTCAGACCAATGTCATGTTAGACAGGTTGTTATCTGATACCACTCAGCTACCACACGCGAGATTGGCTGATTGGCAATTTCGTTTGCATTTGTTTGTCTTTGTCTTTCATTGATTTTTGGGAGGGACTGTATTTTTTTTTTCTTTCTTTCTGGTCTTGATAGAAGGAGGGTGATTTTATATTTTATATCTTATTTGTTAGATGAATGGAGATTCGTATAAGGGGGGATATATGTATATATATATATTTCTTTTTGTTTTTCAACACATGGAATTCTTTGAATGATTCATTTTTTGCTCCTGCTTCTAAAAAAATAAAGATTGTTAAATAAAATCACAGTGATTTATCTTATTGCCGGTTAGCTATATTAATGTTGGTCCTATTTTTATGTACCTTTTTATGTTCTTATTTACATTCCTATTTATCAATATTATCATCATCGACGCTATTGTCATAATTTCTCGATAACATTACTATTAGTGTTTTTGTTTGATATCATTTTTATCGATTTCAGCCATGTGATTCTCGTAAAACTTCTAATTTCTAAAGTTTCTTAATTGCTTGTTTTCGTTTTTAGAATGATAATGATGGCGATAATGATAATGATAACAACAACAATAATAATGATAATAATAATAATAATAATAATAGAATAATGATAATAAGGATGATGATGGTGATGGTGAGAATAATAATAATAATAGTAATAATAATAGTAATTATGTTAATGATAATACGAATAATAATGATGTCATTATAATTGTTGTTGCTATTGTTATTATAATTATTGGTACTGTTATTGTTATAATGTTACAACAACATTAATAATGATAATAGTAATGATGATAATTGATATTATTTTTTATATTTTTTTATCACTATCATCATCATCATCATTATTATTATTATTATTATTATTATTATTATTATTATTGTTATTATTATTGTTTTTGTTGTTGTTGTTGTTGTTATTATTATTATTATTATTATTATTATTGTTATTATTATTATTATTATTATTATTATTATTATTACTATTATTATTATTATTATTATTATTATTATTATTATTATTATCACTATCATAATTAATGTTGTTATTGTAATTGTCGTTGTCATCATTATCGTCATTATAGCATTATTGTCATTATCTTTATAATATTAATTTCATTGTTACTGTTGTTATGACTATTCTTGTTATACTTCTTAGTACTGTTATGGATATTAATGATAATGGTAGTGATGGTGATAGTGGTGATGATGATGACAATAATGATAATGGTAATAGTGATAATGATAATAATGATGACCATAATAAGTCATTATTATCATTATCGCTGTCATTATAATGATAATAATAATAATAATAATAATAATCATGATAATGATTATTATTATTGTTATCATTGTTATTGCTGTTGCTTTTATCTGTGTTATTATTATCATTATTATTATCATTATCATTATCATTATCATTATCATCATTACTCTTTTTATTATGATAATGGTAATAGCAATAATGATAATGATAATTATAATATAATACTAATGATAATAATAATTATGATAATATTAATAATAATAATAATTATTATTACTATTATTATTATCATAATCGTCCTCATCATTATAATTCTTATTACTGTTATCATTACTATTATTATCATCACTATCACTGTCATTACTATTTCTATTAGTTTACTATAATTATTGCTATTATTATTATTATTATTGTTATCATTATTGTTGTTTTTGTCTTTGTGTATTATTATTGTTATTATTATTATTATTATTGTTATTATTATTATCATCATCATCATCATCATCATCATCATCATCATCATCATCATCATCATCATCATCATCATCATAATTGTTATAATTATTACTTTTATGATAATAATATTGATAATAATAATAATAATAACAATAATGATAATAATAATAATAACAATAACAATAACAAAAGCAATAACAATAACAATAATGATAATAATAATAATAATAATAATAATAATAATAATGATAATAATAATAATAATAATAATTATTATTATTATTACTCTTATCATCACCATCATTGTCACTGACTTTACTATTTCTATTGCTATTATTATTGTTATTATTATTATTATTATTATTATTATTATTATTATTATTATTATTATTACTATTATTATTGTTATTATTATCATTAGTAGTAGTAGTAGCATTGTTATTATTACTATTACTATTACTATTATCGCTATCATTATTGTTGTTGTTGTTGTTTTATTGTTATTGTTGTTATTAGTTATCATTAGTACCGTTATCATAATCATTATCATTATTATTATCATTTTGATTATTATTGTTATTTTATTATTATTATCACTGTTATCATCATCATCATCATCATCATTATTGTCACCCTTAACGTCACCATCACCATCGTCATCGTCATCGTCATCGTCATCGTCATCATCATCATCATCATCGCTATTGTTTTTGTTATTGCAGTTTGATTGTTGTTATCATTATTAGTATCATTATCATTCGCTATTATTATTGTTATTATTATTATTATTATTATTATTATTATTATTATTATTATTATTATTATTATTAATATTATTAACATCATCATCATCATCATTCTTCCTTTTCATCATCATCATATTATTGTTTTTGATATTATCATTGTTGTCATTGTTATCATTATTAATTTTTTGTTATTGTTATTGTTATTATTATTATTATTATTATTATGTTGTTGTTGTTCTGTTGTTATAATTATCATTATTATTGTTATTATCATCTTTGTCATTATCGTTATTATGATTGTTATAATTTTTATTATTGTTATTGTTTTTACTATTATTATAATTGTTATTATTATTATTACTATTATTATTATTCTTTCTGGGACTCTAAAGACTGGTCTTATATCTTGGTGAATGAGCAGCAATAGCGGACCACAACCAGTGGTCTTAGGTATTGTAGCTTCTTTCTCTTTCACTTTTTATTATTATTATTATTATTATTATTA